CCCCGGAGGTGACCACATGGTGTGGCAGACCTCTCCTGACCCGCCCACTGCTCCCCTCAGCAGTGTACTTCATCGATCTGCCTGTTCTGCTCCCCAGTCTGTCTCTGGTGAAGCCTCTCACCACCTCTGGCCTGTACCCCAGTTCTGTATGCACAAATAAATAAATCTTTAAAAAAAAAAATACTAAGTGGTGTTAAATGCACACAATGTTCACAAAAAGTCTGATGGATCACAAAAGAGTGGCAGGAGCACAGCACTATGGGTGTATTTCAGCACTTCTTTATTCCTCTCCTAAGTTTCCAGCTCCTTGCGGTGTGGGGAGGATGAGTGGATACATGACCTTGGGCAGTTTCAGTGCAGGGCCAAGGCAGACTGCCTCAGAATGGGCCTTAGTGGCATGTTGATTAAGGGACAGAAGATCCAAGAATGAGGTTTTCCCTAATTCTCTATCTCCCTAAAACCAGGGATGTTGGGGAGGGGAGGTGGGAGTGGCCTTAGAGTTTCATTACCCCAGCCAGGGCTTGCAAAGGCTGTTTTCAATACATATGTAGATTAAACCCTGCAGAATTCCCTTTAAGTTGAAAGTTCTTTGTTCTGTTTTTCTCTTTTAAACATATTGCACCCTTTCTAGAAACTATATAACCTCACTGGAATAACCCAGATGACAGGTTCTACTATTCTAATGTATGGACCTCCTTGTGTATGTAATTAAGCTTGGGATTTCCTGTTACTAATCTCTCTCATGTCAATTTTATTTATTTATTTATTTATTTATTTATTTATTTATTTAAAATTAAAAAAGAATGAGCATGCAGCGGGCATCTCTTCCTTTCCTCCTCAGTGCCCACCCCCTTCCCATCCCCAAAATGACTGATGAGGCCAAGGTAGATGCATGTGGCTGGGAAGTCACCGCAGGACACCACGGGAACTTTCTTCTCTCTGCTGTGAGCTTCCACACATTTCTTCTTGCCTCTCTCACTCCTAATTTAAGCTTTCTTACAATTGCTTCTGAAGTCAGACAACTGGTGGGAACTCTCTGCATTTCAATCATGAGTTTCAGGACTTAGATTCTATAAAATCTTCTACTTGATGCAATTCTTAAAGTGGAATTCTGACTACTATGCTTTTTGTGTGGAATTGAGATGTGGTCACACAAGTCCAAACAGAGCAAAGAAAGCCCAGAGTGAGAGAAAGCAGCAGGTGGGGGAGGGGTCTGCCAGTGCTGTGGGCTTCCTGCAGCCCAGGGCAGGGTGTGGGGGCAGGAGGGCATGAGCAAAGCCTCAGTTTGCAGCCAGGACACAAGAACCTCTCCCGAGCCACATGGGTGCTAGGAACTTCGCTGTGACACTCATACTCCCCATAAACCCACAAGAGGTACACAGTGTTATTCTCTTTGCCCTACAGAGGGGGGACAGAGGCTCAGAGAAGTAAGGGCACCCAGCCAGTAAGCAGGAGGGCCAGTTCTTGAGCCCAAGTGTGACTTCAAAGTTTGCACTCCTGGCCTGATTCCTCAACCAGGCTCCTACACTGGCTCCGAGCAGTGGGAGGTCAGGGTGGGGAGGTGGCAGGCAGCCCCTCAAAGGCCTCCTGTGGAGGGGCCCAGGTCATGACTTCTTTGAGGCTCCTGACCTGGGTGGGTGGGAGGCCCCATTGTGCTGCTGGAATTCCTGCTCTCTGGGCTCTCACACTGGACCCTTTGAACTTGAGAGTCCTCACTGTGAAGATCTCACAGAAGGAAAACAAGTGACTTAAGCCTATACCTGACTTAGCAGCGGGATCTCATCCCAGGGAGAACCTTCTATAACATAGTTACAGGAAACATTTCGCCAGTGCTATGCTTTTCAAAGACAATACAGAACTCGCCCAAGAGAGAGCTTTCAGGTCCAGCAAGTGCAGGAGTGACTTTCATGGCAGATACATCCAGCCACGGTGATCCAAATCCTCAAAGAATTTCATTTGGAGAGAAAGTCTACATACGCAAGGCACAGATAAACGGTTCAGTCAGGACTCTCAGCTCTAAGAGCAGCCTCAAACTCAGGAGAACTGACTCTCCCAAGGGTTTGCCAGAAATGTAGATTCCTGGCCCTCCTAAGTACAGAGTCTGATCCAGCAAGCCCTGCACGGGACCTGGGGATACGCATTTTAACAAGGGCGCCAGGTGAGTCTGTGGCAGGTTTATCCAGGCTCAAACTTTGAAAAAATGTTTCCTCTAGGAAACATACAATGAGCATATCTGCAAACACAGGAATGCAGAAGACCTCCCTCATCCCTAACAAAATGATCACTGGACATTCGCTTCTGAAATAATGAGTCAGGGTAGGAAGAAGGGCCTCACGGCAGGCGCCAAGGAACATGGAGTCTTGACAGGACTCTGGGTCAGATTGGCTAGTCAGAATTCTCAGGCCCGCCACACCTTACAAGTTGTGTGAAGGTGAGTAGTCAGAGAACTCGGAACCCTGCTTTTCCCGTCTGTAAAGTGGGACTAATCGGCACCCAACACCTCCGAGGACAACCAGGTCAGGCCACACTTTTGGGGCCCCGGTGTGGAGCCAGTGCTCAGCCAGTGAGGTCCCGTATCCCTGCTGTGCGGTGACCTGGCACGCCCAGAACACACAGATTCTAGAGGATAGATCAGACAGCACTCAGGGATGGGTCTGCTGTCAAGCTCTGCACAAGAGGACAGGGACTGTGTCTCACTTGTCAGTAGATGCCAAAGGTGCCTTTATTCACGAACACCCTATTTTGAGGACCTCCTCTAACCCTCTCATTTTAAAGATGGGGACCAATCAAAAAATACTAAATGGGCCCCTCCCTGGTGGCGCAGCGTGTTAAAGCACAGCACTAAGAAGCTAAAGCCGGGCCCTCCCTGGTGGCGCAGCAGGTTAAAGCACAGCACCGAGAATCTACAGCCGCCTCCGCATGAGTTCGATTCCCACCTGCCCCGGAGGTGACCACATGG